GGGCGGAACATACAATGACTATGTACACTGTAGATGCTTCACTTCGGACTCAGGTTTCAATCAGAGCTGAATTATGCATTATTTATGGATAGTGGGCGATGTCCAGGCCTGCTCGCGAGCCCATCGTGCACATGCACAGGCGAGAATGAAAGTAATGCGGCCGTCATATCACCGGTACACCATGGTACACTGACTGTGTCTGTGTCAGCGTCACTGCGTCAATGCGTCATCAGGGCTATCGCATAGCTAATCTCACATTCACAATCACATCGGTCCAGTGCATAATTTGTCAATGATTATGACTGTATTGTTACGTGGTCCCCAGTGCAGCTAGCAAGTAGCATTGCATTCAGTGCCAGTGGTCTTGCAATGCATGCTTCTCCTATTAGTATTACTACAGTGACTGAGTCAGTGAGTGTAGTGAGACGTCGCGCCGGTATCCGGCAGTCGGAACTCTGCCAAGTAGTAGATCTACCAGGACAGGTACGGGTACAGAGCTAGACTTGAGGCATTCATTCGCTTTTGCTTCTCCAGCCTTGCATCCGGGTAGCAGGCTAGCACACAGTACACTAGTTCTACATGTACGATTAGCTTCGGAGGTTACTTTTCATCTCTAACTCGTAGATCTACTTGCAACTAACCTATTACTTGCAAGTGCTGCAATGACTTGCTAGACACACAACATGAACATGACGCATGTACATGTATGCACTAGTGCTTGAAGCCGACCTACACTACAGGTACAGTCATGTTCATGTACAATAATATTGTGCTACGCTCGAAGTTAAGGTTTACGGGCCTGATGGTCAAGTCAGTGCATGCACATTCGTGCCTTGTAGGGTGGAGGCTATTCAGTAAAGAGTAAGAGTCAGAGCTTACTGAAATGTCACCATTGCGTACGAGCACACGCAACTGAACCACCGAGCAGAATGTCCAACACAGGTACACCATAAATCCCCATAATACAAGTAGTTATACCTGCACGTATAAAAGTAACGTTAGTGACTTTCAACGCACATCGTATAGTTGGCTGCGACCAAGCGGAGGCAAGTAACGTACATGTAATGATGTAGATAGTCGGGTTGCTAGAAAGCACGTACATGTGTGCTACGGGACCAGTATTACACTTGCGCCTTCCCCAGCTTGTTACCTTTACTAAAGTACTTGACTAACTCTACACAAAACTGCCGGCAAACATTGGTGTGCGGGGGACACCTTTGCCCCTGGCCATCATCCAATGATTATGTACTGTGTACATGGTTACACCTGCACGTACACACACACACACACACACACACACACACACACACACACACACACACACACACACACACACACACACACACACACACATCTAGCAGAACTGGTCGCGGTATCTGATTGTCAATAGGAAATCACTTGACCGCAACACAACCACTTCATCGGCGGAAACCAACGCCGCTACTCGACTCTACAGTAGAGACTCAACAGTCAAAAGCAACAAGGACGGTAATCTCAGCTTTGTCTCCAGCTAGTCCCGTAGTGGAGAGCTATGCGTTGGCCTAGGGCAACGGAGCAAAAGATTCATGTACGGTAATCCAAAAAGTAGAGAAGTAAGTAATGATATACTTTGTTGGTTCACCCACCCTACCACATTCCCAGCCTAGCCACCCCTAGCCCCTAAACTATAGCCGCCAAGGCCCTGAAGTAACTAGTTAGTTACTAAGGCCTCCTCTTACTGTCTTAGAAGTAAGAGCGTCTGCTACTTCACCATCCGCACAACTAAGTAGTTGTTACTTACAATCATGCAAGGTTCAGCTGGTGACATGCACTACCCCCGTCCTACTTGCACCTACAATGTAGTCCTTGCATAAGCTGCAGCATGGCAGCATAACCATGATGACTCAGCGCCTCCACAAAAGGATCGCCGGGCTAAGACGCACCACGTGGTGGCAGTAATCACCGCGCGGTTGCGCGCACTGCTGGCAGCATAATAGCATATGCATACCACAGCATGCCGCCGTATCATTGGCATTGCTGTGCAGCGCAGGGCTTCCGCTGTTAGCCGACCATGTCGAAGCGCCTGCTTGCAGCTTGGCCTGGCCCTGGCCTGCCGTATACGTAGTCTGTAGGCCCTGGCCTGGGTCCACCTGACTCCTGAGCCCCAGGCTAGGACTAGGACTAGGTCTAGACTAGGACTCAGGTCAGGAGTCAGTACTCAGTCAGTGTCAGTAGGAGCTTCACTGACCATGCCAGTGACTGGTGACCACCACTGCTGCGCTGACGTGCTGACTGCTCATAGATCTACGTCTGGTATCTCGACTACATGTAGACGTCGGTTAAACGGACATGATGGCTGATATGGCCATGGCCTGTACGGCTGTAGTGTAGGCACGGTACGTACCAAAGATGTCCATACATTTTGAATGATTCACAAACTCAGTGCATTGTACATCCAGTGCATACAACAGTTACTGTAGTACTGACTCTGATAACACCGACCGAGCGGTTACATTCCTGATTTGATCACGTGCACTGTCGCGTGATTATTGCATTGGAAATCAGCGTACACGTGCGGGTTGGTGAGACATCCGGTTCGTTCACGTGATCCTACTGGCACTGACAGGCTGCACCGTAGGCTGTAGGCTTGTACTAGTTGTAGCACGACTGAGTTTTCCGACTTGCCTAAAGACAAAAACTTAAAGTTAAAGTAAAAAGTATGAACTAGCTCAGTGATCATCATGAATACTAGTTGTAGTAGGCGAGATCGTAACCACATGCCCATGATGACAAGTATGAGTATGACAAGTATGACAAGTATGACTAGTATGAGTATGAGTATGAGCACAGTCATGCAAAACTGCCAAAAGGTGAAGTAAGTAAATTTTATAAAAGCGACCACTACAAAGTACAATGACGTGTAGACTTGTAGTCATCATGGTTTGTTCAGAGACCCACAGTCATAATCATTACATCAGTCATCAGTGAATAATGGCAAGAAGGCATATTATGATATTCAGCGAAAGGAGAAAGGAAAATCGAAGTAAGAGAGCTAGAGGAGTTCAACCAGTATTGGCAGTAATGCTAGTAGTACCACCGTCACTACGGTTACGTCATTGAACATGACATGATGTACATGTACATGTACATGTACGTTTCACTCACCTTCCCCTCGTTGTTTGGTCCATGAAGTTCATAGTGAACCTTCCGAGATGGAAAGCTTTTGGTTTGCGCATTAGAGATGTACATGTATTCGAACAAAATGTACACGCGCATACTGTACAATCATACATTTATATGGAAGTACTGAAACCTTCATAAACTCTATGAACATGACTGTAGTGTACACGTACTGTATTCCATCCACGGTCGACGGCAAAAAGCCAGGTGACGCTGACCCAGGCGGAGCTGATGTACACCATGAGGTTTTTGAGGCTACGTTTACCCAAGGAGCGAAGCACGTACATGTACATGTACATGTACATTGTATTCAGAAACTGAGTCCACCTGGCTGTCAGACTCTACAACTCTACATTGTACATAGAAATTGTCTCCTGGCAGATTCATGTATTATAAACAAGTAACAGTTTGTAGTATGCTCTTAAAAAAATCCAGAATTTTGCATCCAATCACGGTAGCTGGGATGGGAACATGCACCATATTTTACAATGTACGAGCGCACGAGGTACATGTACTGTACATGTATGGCTGAGTAAGAAAAAAAAGTTTACCGGATTCGCGGCCGCATCACCTGACGTGTTTAGTAACACATCAATCAATCAAGCAAAGATACAAGGCATACTTGGCCTTGTTGTCGAGAATTGGCAGAGCCTTCCTCATGAAGCCAAGACGTTGGTGATCACGGTTAAATGCATTCGCATCGGCGGGCCACTACTTCGCCCATATATCCTCGGCTGAGTTACCGAAGTAAAACTAGCCTACTTCCTGGTGGTGACAGTCAATTTTTTTCTTCAGACTTTTCCCTTTTCCATTCTCTCAACTAGTGAATATTTTATACTTATTTAGAGCTCCCCGCGCATTACTACTATTAGCTTGTGCGTGAAGTGTGTGGGTACAGTGATGGCCGCGTCCCACCACTGCACCAGCCTATGGCCTATGTAGTTTCACAGCAAGCGTGAGTTTCGAAGTCAGAAGAAAGTAAGTGTTGAACGGTCTCTGCTTGGATGACAGCTACACCATAGGCATAGCTCAGTGCCGACAGTGGTTAGACTTAGAGCATGGCTGGCCTCAAGCGAAGATCCCGGGTGGAGAGTCAGCGATTAATTTATAAGAAGAAAAGAGGACTATATTTTAAAAGAGCTGCAAGTTAGTTTAAAATACGCTATAATATGCACTAAGACCATCAGTTACTTTTAAACTTACTTTACAATCACCATGATAGCATTGCACGACACTGACCAACGCCACGGTACTGACGTTCTAGAGCCCATTGCCAGATAGGTGTAGAACGTCAGTACCATTGATCAGTGTCGTGCAATGTTATCGGATGAGACTCAGAGCTGATTGTAAAGTAACTGATGGTGTTAGTGGTCCTGGATATTATAGCGTAACTTCTTGTAACTCTTTGGTCCTCTTTTCTTCTTACAAAATGAAACTACAGTCTACCAATTATTAACATGCCTCGGTAAATCGGTGCTTTAGAGCACGGGTCTCTGCACCAGAGGTCAAATAACTGGAAAACTTGATGTGGATGCCAGTCCTCAAACGTACGATTGAAATCGAGAGAATTATCCTTTCTACCCAGCGTGTTTGGTAAGCGTCCCACCACTGCACCAGCCTATGGCCTATGTAGTTTCACAGCAAGCGTGAGTTTCGAAGTCTGAAGAAAGTAAGTGTTGAACGGTCTCTGCTTGGATGACAGCTACACCATAGGCATAGCTCAGTGCCGACAGTGGTTAGACTTAGAGCATGGCTGTTTCAGCGCCCATGCAGCCTCCACACTACTAGCACTCAGAGTCTTTGACCAGTACACACCGCGGCAGGCTACACACAGATCACAATTTTAAAATGTTAAAGTCTTCTTCCTCCAAGACTCGCAATACTGGGAAGATCAATCCAGAATTTCACATTGATAACAATATCAAAAGGCAAGGAAGCTGTCTCTCCTTGTGTGGTGTTAAGTCAGAATGAATATCACTGAGTACAATTGGAGCTTTGAGCACCAGTGTAAGTACCGGCTCAACATCATAATCTTAAAACTATGAACAACATAGAATAATACAGAAACCTTCAAAGGGTTGCTCAAACGTTTCTCGGTGTTTAAATTCCAGTTATAAATCATTCAAATGATACAGGAAACACGCCTGTTTCTGCCATTTCCGCGAGGTGGATTAGTTCCTCTGCACCTGGCACAAGATCTCGGATTGGAGCCCACATGGAGGAAGTATGTCTGGACTCGTAGTAGACAGGAGACCTGAACTGGAGCGGTCTATTCGAGTCGCAAGAGTACTCTTCCGCTGATACGGCCGTTGAGGGAGACAGCGGTGGCGTTTCTGTGTTTTCGGCTACGTAGGGAGGATGTGCGCAGTGCAAGTCTTCACTCAATGGTTTCTGGAGGTCGTCATTAGGTGTTAGAGCTGCAGTGCAATTCTGCTGGTGCTTGTCGACTGTTTCGTTGCCATCCTGTCCGTTGTCTGCGATATGCTGGGCTAGCTTTTCACGCAACAGTGCAGTATCATCTGACGTCAATGATGTTGTTTCAGAGTCGGACGGCAATGACTCTGGTGTGTTGAAGTCCCTCGCAATATCCAGGTCATCGCCTGGCAAGGCTTGTGGTTGCTGCACTGTGTAACTGGATACACTGCTGGATGTCTTGCCCGGTGGCTTGCTGGATGCACTGCGAGCAGATTGAGAGCAGACAGTCGCGGCTGCTGCATTGCGTTGGGGTAAGCTTGGCTGAAGAATACAGCGGCGTTTCAAATCGGGTATCAACGGCTCCTGGTGAACGTTTGGTCTTGCTCGTCCGGCTGGTTTCTTGCTACCTGATCTCCTTGCTGTGTCTCTTGATCTAGAGTGTGCCACAGGCTTCTTAGAGACAAGCTCAACCATTGGCTCAAGCTTGACTGGCTTCTTCTTAGGCCGGTACTTGTAATCAGGGTACTTCGCCTGATGTTCAATCTTCTCTCTTTTAGCCATATCGTAAAAGGGCTTCTTCTCGTCTTCCGTCTTTGACTTCCACACCCGTCCCAAGTCCTTGCTTATCTCGGCGTTGTGCAGTTTGGGGTTTTTGGCCATCCTCTCTTTCCGCTCCAAGGATGACCAAACCATAAACGCATTCTTTGGTCGCTTGACGTGCTCGGCTGCTGCACCTTTGATCTTTCGCCTGCGTTCCCCTGGAGCATGCAACTGCTGTAGCTGGTGTTGCTGCTGCTGCTTCGCTTGTTGGACACTGATACATGTAGACGATTTCATTATTCTGGACATTGGTGTGAAGTTGGTGGTGCTCTGCGTGCTGGCGGCTGGTGCTGCCAGTCTTGAGTTTCGGGTCTTCTTCTTTACAACTGTTCCTGGCCTGGGGTAGGAATCATCGGATTCGGTACCGCTGCTGGTGCTGCTTTCGCTGCTAAGATCGCCAGTGGTGACGCTGCTGTCGCTGCTTTGGCCACTGCTTTTGACGCTGCTATTGCCGTCGCTGCTTTGGCCACTGCTTTTGATGCTGCTATTGCTGTCGCTGCTTTGACCACTGCTTTTGACGCTGCTATTGCTGTTGCTCACAATAACGTTACTGCTGTTGTCCTGGCTACTTCTCCTGCTGCGGGCCCGGAGTCTGAGATGATAGTCGCTAAGCGGAAGTTGACTAGCAGCAGTGTCGGATTCAAGTTGACTAGGCCTAGGGATGTCGGATTCTGAATCTGAGGATTCCGTGTCGCTGCTATCACTGCTACTGCTTCCAGACGAACTAGATGAACTAGATGAGCTACTGCCAGAAGAACGGCTGCCATATGAACTTCTGCCGGATGAGCTGCTGCCATACGGACTGCTGCTAGTGGAGGATTCCGTATCTGTCCTCTTCCTCTTACGTGCATAAGATTCCAGAATGCACAGGCAAGAAAAACTTAGGGAATCCGAGCCGTCACTCATCATGACGATAGAAATTCAACGGAGCTGAAAGACTAGTTGCAATACTGAACTTCTGAAGACAGCAGATTCGATCTCTCCCAACCAGACACGATACTAAAATGTCCTCCTATCGCCACCTGAAGCCACAATAATGAATGAAGTGCCACGCGGTGCACCTAATTTATCCTATCCGTATGTATGCGTCCACGCACTACCACACCGTACTCCGAGTAGAGGCTAGAACCAGTCACACGCGATGACAGCAGTCAGCAGGCCTGCATCATGCGGAGCGCTGATCACGTATGCCTTCGACTTACTTGACAGCGGATGAGGCTGCGCTAGTGTTGGCGTTCTGGCTGTGACAGTGAGTAGAAATGCGGGGGAGAAGTGAGTGTTGGTTCACCACTGCACTGTGACTGGATCCCTCAGTTCGCTCAGCTGGATCAAAGAGAGAGAGAGATCTTTTCACACTCCACGTCGCGTTCGCAGAACGTGCCAGCCGTCAGTCCTTTGTTACAGGTTGCTGTAGAATAGACTGGAGTCTAGGACTATGACTGGGGGATGTTGCATGAAAGCTAAGACTAAGACTCCAACAGCGTAGCAGATCTACCCAGTGGAGAAATCACAACGCGAGGCCCTAGCTTTGCTATGGAGTGGCGGTTTAGTCGGCGAAGCTAAAGCTGGTCCAGTTCCTCAGGAGCAGGGGGATTATGTATCATGTAGACGTCAAACTACGACTATTATACAGGGTGAATACGTGAAGCGCAGGCAGGGCCTGGTGCGCGTGTGCCTCGAAGTCAAAGCTGACACACTGTATCCCTAGCCACTGTCATCCACCGTGAATCCCGCTTATCTGTGTACGGTTGCCGTAATGTTGCCACTGCCCTGGAGTAATCGCATTGGTATGAAGCGCAGAGAATACTCGTAAGACAGCAACCAGAATACTGATCTACCAATGCGCGCAACCAACCAACTAACTAACTTCTCCCTCTGCGAAAATGTGAGCTTCCGCGATGGAGCGGCAGCTACTAGTACTAGTAGTAGTAGTGGTAGAGAGGAAAGTCACTTTACTACTAGTCATGTAGTCATGTAGATGTAGAGGGGACTTTAGAATCCAGCCAGCCTAGTTTGAAGCTTGATGCAGAGCCAGGCAGGTCCTGTGTGCACGTTTGCAGTTCCAATTGCAGTCCAAATACCGTCGAGTCAGCCCCGGCACGCGGTGCCTCTCTCCGACTCCAGTCGAACGTCTACGTCTCGCCGATCAACTCAACACTGACCAATCTCGGCAAGCAGTGCAGTCCCGTGCGCTGTGCAGCGGCCTAGGCTGCCACGCGGTGCGCTGCGTACGAGCTGTGCCTGTGGTGTCCATCATGTGCATGTGGCCCGATCGAAGCCGTGTAGATCTATGCACGCCGTACATGTACATGTACGAACGGTACGTGTGTGTGGCGACAAAAGAAAAGGCCCGGGGAAACACGAAAACAAAACATGCACCAAATACAAGCGCAGCCTGGCCGTGTGGCCGGTGGCGGTGGTGGTTAGGTGGTATGCTATGTTATGCCGTTATGTAGATGTAGTCTAGATGACTTCGTATTTCTACTGCTCAGATGCTGCTACAATCATCAGTACATGACTGAATGTTCTACTTCTAGTACACAAAATTACATGGATGTCAGGCTGTCAGCGGAACGGAGATGTCCCCGCTCGATCTGACGATTGGAGACAGGGCAAAGGCGGAGCAGTATGTAGGGGAGGACTACGAGTGCGAGTGCGACAGCTGTATACTAAACTGTGTAAGATCAAGTAAGTAGTACTAGTAATCAATATTTCCACGTGGCACATTTTTGTGCCATGCTCACGTCATAAATGCATGCATGACGCGTGACGAAGATTTTTCACCGTGCTGTCACGTGACTGAACTCCCTACTACTAGTAGTGTAGTAGTTGGAAAGCAACTCGGTGAACGTGCTTCGCTTCATGGCCACCGTGCGAGCAGCTCAGATGAGTTAGCCTGCAATGCAATGGAAGATACTCTCGATCTCCAATTATATCTATAATTACTGTAATAGCCTGCATAGACTGTAACATTTGAAGACATGCCACGTCTTCTGCCAAGTAATTATCATTGGGCACCCTGCTGTCTGTGTCGCAGGACTACGCAGACTAACATGATGACGGAGAAGAAGATGGCAGGAACAATTTCTTGCAAGGCTTCCTATTGTATACATGTACTAGAACATACTCGCTGGTCTAAACCCACAGTCCACACCCGGTGAATATCATGGAGCCCCACGCAGACGGAGAGCTCCCTGCCTGGTGCTGCGGCCTACATGACATCGTAAATTATAAAGCGTCTTGTACGGACAAAATCAAGTTGTAGTATGACGTGCGCGCGTGTATAGTACTGGTGCTCTACGAACGTGTACCATGGTGTAGAGGGTACAATAATAAGTAAAGGAGTAGTAGTTTGTTAATGTTAGTTGACTGATCCTGCCTCAGTGCCTGCTGCGGATTTATCTGCTTGGTGACGTTGGAATATGTATGTGACTTGGTGGTTCATACTATCATCTTGAACGTCATTGGTAAAGACATAAGTAGTCATGTATGACCTGGTTCGCTTGTACTTCTAAGTTCTAGTAAGTACAATACTCAATAGTTACATGCACTATCTGCACACCTACATGTACATGTACGTACACTCCTCTACTGGAAACTGTCCAGGATGCTAGGATGATTTGCGCGTTAGAAATTTCTACAGTGGTCAATGCTGCTTACATAATCATTACAATTATTTACAGTTATGTACAGTGTACAGTGTATGTAGTGGACACTTTCGCGTCCACCGCCCACCGGTCAGATCTACAATACAAATGCAGGACATACAGTCATACAATAATGATGTGTGTGTCACGTCATGGAATGGTAGTGAGTGCGATTTAACGTTTGCGAATGTGTCACGCGGGGGAATACGCGTATAGCACGTAATAATTATCATTTTCATTAACAATCAGAGCTGTGCCTAAGTATTAGTTGAGCGGACTTTTTCCTCTAGGCTCGCATGGATCTGAATCAATGGATCTACGGGCGATTGCAATCACCTTTCAATTGGGTTCGGCGGGCAAAGCTGTGGACAGCCGCCCTTGATTACAGGACTTAGTGGTTTATGGAGTCCATTTCCACACATCTGCGGGGCAGCGGATAGTGAGCACAACTGCCCATATACATACTCCTCCACTTCATTCTACGAAGCTTGAATGCAGCACTAGCAGGCACTGCACTGGGCTCTAGTCTAGGCTAGCGTAGGGTCCATTCAACGAGTTACGTAGCTGGAGATGATTCGCAACAGCTGGACACAGCGGATCACGCACTCTCATACTCGGAGTCATACTGCCAGGCCCATACTATACTCTAGACTATAGCCTAGGCCATACTGGCCCATACTGGCCCATAGACATTATTAGGTACTAATGTACATTAGCAGTCGCACGTCAGTGCGACAAGTCAACGAGACAGGAGACCGAATAACTATCAACACAGCTAAACCTTCTCTACCCAAGACCATGCAGCTTGGGCTCAGTTGTCACAGTACATGTTACTAGTATTAGTAGACCTACATGTACTATGTAGTACTACGTGTAAGGCAGTCTGCAGTGTACATCAACACAAGCAAGATTAGAGTCAAGAGTGCCTCTAACGCCAACGGCGTGGCAAACTCACAGTACGTAACAGTCTTTCATCGCTATAGTAGCTTAGCAATACTAGTACTATTACTAGTATTGAGTATTGTGCGTAGCCTGAGCTGTCTTCCCAGGCCACATACCACATGCAGGACGGAAACGTGGACAAGCCAAAGACGAGTGGGCAAAGCCCGGCCTCGGCTCAAGCTGTGAAACAGTCATTGCACTGTCCGGCCTGGGACGCGTATCGGCAGAAAGCGGAACGCAGTTGCAGTGATGCGTGTTGGAGCAGCTTCTTATCGACACTGCCATCACGATACATGGCTGTAGACAGTGGCTGTAGACATGTACGTGACTGTCCTACAGATACACTGTCACTGCAGTGAACATGGCATCACCTGCAAAGGGTTTTACTCGGGGAACACTGCTGCACGGTTGATATTCCGCAGAACAGTCCCGTTTTATCCACAATCCAGCTTGCGGAGGTCTGCGGGCCGGGTAACACGCTTCCCAGATATCACAGACTGAAAGAGAGGGCGATTACAGCCACACATCTGTAACGCACGCTCCACTGCACTGGTGGTGGTGACCGGCCCCGAGTGACGGGTCCATTGGGAACGCGGCTTCCCTTGGCCAATGACACCGCGCAGCCGACCCCAAAGCCCCGACTGTCCTCCACACAAGACCGCTACCGTGATTGAACCCTCATGCAATGCGCAGAGCCACTGATCCAGACCAGACTACTGTCAGTACTGACGTACAACGGTACAGTCATGTAGATCTACACACACACACACACACACACATACGTGGGGATAGACATGTACGCAGTGGTAGTGTAGACTGTTCACGGGGCAGTCTGTGTGTCCGCTTGCCAGAATTATGGCAGAAATAATGGACGAACACTTCGTCTGCAACTAAACTACTTGGCTAAAGTAATTTTATCAATTGCTCTGCGGCAATACAGGAATCGGCGTAACACTAGTAACAGTACGATCGACAATGTGGACGTCTATACTTGTCTAACAATGACCAATCTGTACAGACATCAGTACAGTCATACACATGCTGAAAGATCATCCATGCACTTTGCGAACGTTCGAAACTCCAGGTTAGTTGACATCTCACACGACACACGCAGGTCCGTAGTCATTTATACCCCTGGTAGTCCTTTCCTCCATGGCATGATCGGTCTGTGAAAGTGGCAATGCAAATCCTCATGGATATGCCTTATATGTACATGTATGTGCGCTGCAAGTGTTCTGTAAACGTGCAAATCTACACTTCGCCTATCAGTATCGCGGTTCGACCTGTTGGGTGGGGGAACGACTTGTTCTCTTGCAACCGCAAGGCAATGTACAATAGTCTACATTGTACTTGTGATCGCACCAGCTGCGCACCGTCGCTGTGGCTCTGAACGTATCATGCATCAGGCAAGATCACAAGCACATAACGTTGGTGGTACGAACTCCCTACTGTACTACTACTGATCCTGTGCAGATGTGCAAGTCAATATCGTCAAGTGCATGACACTGTAGTATTCTTGGGCGAAGAATCTGGAAATACTCTTCACAGGAAATACCCTCAGCTGTGCACGTGCACGATAATGATAATTATAACTGTGACAACGGGTACTAGTCGGATTCGGTGTGCCCAGGGTTTTAGAAGTCTCAGATATCCCTCTTCTACCAGCAATATACGAACTTTCGGAATGAGGAACGAGTGCGGGAATCCAAGTTTGCAGTTATCACGCGAAACCCGGATAGGTAGTGGGTCACTGACACTGGGTTTCACGAACGGGGTCGAGACGGGCCAGAGTGGATCCGACGTGACTAAATCCTACAGCCTGCGTGTACATGCATCACTGCCAATCTTCACTAGAAACCAGGCAGTTGTTACTATACTACATAATGTAGTATCTTACTACGCAGCCGCTGGCTTGTGTCCGTTTGCCGTGTCATGATCTTGACTAAAACAGTAAAAGCGGATACTTACCGGTAATAATCCATAGGAAACATTAATTTTCGCGTGAGTGGTGTTGAGACAGCTGAGTCTACAAGACTACACCGCACGCTTCCGCCTAACCCTTGTTTCCTACCACTGCCAGGCCAGGTTACACGCGTGCACGCTGCACACCATCCAGCGCAGCCTGCACGCGCACGCGAGGGATACGGGAGCTGTCATCTGGTCTCCTAGTGTTGTGTGATCGTGTGCACACAAGTACAAGGCTGCACGCGATCGCCAAAGGAGTAGATCCGGGACCGGGATGTATTTTATAGTGTTGAAACGAATAATCGAATAATCGAATAATTTAGAATATTCGTGGGGTGAACGAATAATCGAATAGTCGTAGGAATT